CACGGCATCATTTAAATAGCAGTTGTTAAGCAAAATGCATAATTTTCACGTGATTTTTAATTTTAAATTTTTCCATTTTTAGAATCCCAAATTAATCAGCCCTTTTTGCTTTTGGTAATTCTTCACTAATGGCTCTAAGATTTCTGTGATAACTGCAAAGAAATGCCTAAACACTAGTTTACTCACCAGAAAATTCTGCAATAGTGTAAACCAAGTAAACTGCTGAATTATTAATATTTTATAACCTTAGAGTTTCAACTGCTGTTTAAACAAAATGTAATTCTGTAAAAAAAAATTATTAAACCCCCACAAATTTTAATTGCAGAAAATCTTTAGATTTTTGTGTTTTGTTTTGTTTTTTTTTCAGTATGAAGCAGTTGTAAAATTTATACAGAAATTGTTAGATTACTTCCATCATTATTTCCCTTACATAGTTATTATTTGCATGTGATGTATGCCTTTATGGTTTTGTTGTTGTTGCTCCCTAACTGCCAGGCATATTTTCTATTCCATTCCAGGGAAAAGAAGTAGGGAGAGAGAAAGGAACTTAGCTTTGATGACTGGTAAGATCCCATTTTCCATAGTCCTATGAACTACATTTTTTCTGGTATTAGCAAAATGTGCAGGCTTTGGGTTTATCCTGTTTCAAGAGTAGACGTAATTAAGTGCTTATTGTATAAATGAGTGGTTTTAAAACTTGAGCAGTTGCAATAACATTTAGCAGCTTAGAAATGACATGTTATTCTGCAATGACAGACTGAACTGAAACAGTATCATAGACACTGGCTTCAGCAGATCCATTTGCAGGAAAAGAACTCTAGTTCTTGGCATTCAGCAAATGCTGGTTGTGTGTATCCTCATTTGAAAAAACATACTTTTTTTCAAAACTATGAGGAATGGAAATGCAAAAAAAGGTAAAAACATACTTTTTAAAAATAATAAATGTAAGTAATGCCTTTAAATACAAGGTAATGCATAAAGTTGTATTTTTTATTATGAATATAAATACTTCAGCACTAGATTTGTGCAAGACAGCCCCTCATAGATGTCTAATAAAAATCAAACCATATTGATAAGGACTCGTGTATTTTGATTGTTTGTGCTGAGAAAAACTTCCACAAACATTTCTTTTTTGTTATAAATTAGAATGCATCTAATGGAACATTGATTTGTGTTGGATGAAAGTAATTACTTTAGATAATTACAGCTTGGTTTTATTCTCTCTGTTTTACAAATCTGCTGCTGGCCCTTTAATTCCTGCTTGTTCTGTCAGAAGGAAGAATACGGAGCTAAATCCAGCAGACCTTATATTGGCAAAACTCCCACTGAAGCCAGTGAGGGTTTTGTGAAAGTAAGGACAGCATGGTTTGTCTCACAGTTCCTGCTTTTGGAATATGTTTGCTCCCCCCCTCAAACACCAGAGCTCCTCACCAAGTTTGACATCACCACGGCGCAGCGGCTCACAGCGTTGTCAGTAAACTGGAATCATGAAAATCAGTGTAATGCAATTGTGAAAAATACCCTTTTCACCCAATGACCTTGGAATAAAACTGATTGCCTTGGGAGTTTGCAGACTGCTACTGTGGCACTAATGCTACAGAAACAGAGACGCTGAGAATTTGGAGAACCCATTTTAAATTCATGCTGAGATTTTAAAGAACTCTTTAAACAAGCTGGAAATATGTCAAATTCTAATTGTTAAAACACAACTACCAAATTGGGTGTTGCCCAGACAGGTCGTACCTTGTGATAAAATTATTGATTCATGTAATACTTCCTCACTGGAACACTGGCACATCCATGAAAATTTCAATTGTTTCCATTACAAATTGCAATAGAGAAAGGCAGCTGAAGAGTTAACAGCGTTCCTTCAGCGGGAAATCTACTGCTACAAATAACACAGGACACACGTTTGGACTGAGTTCTTTATTTTTTTCCACTTAAGTCTGAGCAAATACAGGGCCAACGAGAGAAACCAGATCTGCAAGCATCAGTGCTCTCCTCATCCACAGGCAAGATGATGGAGTCACAGCTTCCCACACTCCACTGTGTCAATGTGTCATGACTTTTCTCCCAAGGGGACACCTTTCGGGTGACTGCACTTCAGTCTCCGTGGTCTTTCAGTCATACATCTGTCTGCCTTCACGTGGAAGCTGGCTCCAGGCTTGCCAAACCCTGCCAAAGCGGTGATTTAGGAATTGGACTGATACTGCCAAATCGCTCTGCGTAGATCACTTGCTGAGGACAGCCACCAGGTAGTGTTAGCAGTGAACTTTCAGTCGCTGTTCATCTGGGCCAGACATGAAATAGTGATCGAAGGAGAAGCAGCTCTGTACTTAATTTCCAGGTCCTGAACCAGCAAGTTGCTCGGAGAACCGATTCCATATTGCTTACTGGGTACTATACTATCCATGCTTATTAATCAGAACATCCTCATTGTGAGGACATTTTCTAGGCACCAAACTGTAGCTAAATGTTCTACTGTATTGTGTTTTATAACAGTGAGCAGCATCATACTATAGGAAAGTCTTATCAAGAAAGCTCTGGAGATCAGTGTATTAAACAGAATAAATACAATAGCAGGGCCTAACTTTTATGATTGTGGGCAACTATATGCATATGGCTTCATTAGCAGTAATGTCCATGCAAGTAAAGATAAACAAATATATAATCCTAGATTTGGGTTACTTAGGGAAGTCTAAGAACATTTTATTTATTATAGTTCAAATGGAAGTAAAATTTTACCACCAATATAAAGAAAATAATCTGATACCCAGATGGTAAAATGGCTGGTCAGATAACATGGTAAAGGTACTGTTTTCTCATGCCTATTTCTGATACCTGTAACTATTTCATCTCTTAGGGCCACGTGGAACTTGCCTGTAACTTTAAGGACAGCTGAAGTCAACATGACTAAATAATGCAAAGCTGCAGAATATTATAGTGGTTTTATAGCTGGAATATTTCTGCATCCAGTTCTGGGTAAAGATAAGGAGAAGCCTTTTGACACACAGTAAAAGCTGCTGCCCATGAGTGACTGCTTGGATCAGTGTTCCAACTGGAAGAAATCTGCTAAGTGCTGGAGCCCCAGATTTAGCTATGGGCATTCTTGATTTATTTGAATCTTCACAAGGGCAAGGCAGGTATTTTTCCATATAGTATGTTTAATCTTATTAGTTAACCAGCTAGGCTATTAACAATAACAAAGTAAAAAAACCCCAACAACCTTAGAAGTAAGCTTGCTCTTGCAAGTTAGGAAGTAAAGACAAAACTGTGAAATTCAACAATTTTTGAATGCTCCCGTCAAATCATGAACTAGGTGGAAAAGCCAGTGAACAAAATCCATTAAAGCTGCATTTATTAAATGTCCACTTGTATAAAAAGCTAAAAATAGCAATTGAGCTTTTCCAATTTTCTTTTCATAACAGTTACTACAATTTTCTGCTTCATCTCAGAAAGTCATTTTGCTGCTGCTGTAGTGTATAATCTGTGTGCCCTTTCTTGGTGCAGTACAAATGACAGAACACTAATCAGATCAGAACAACAATCACGTCATCTTTGAGTAACTAGCAATAAACTGTTTTTACAAGGAAGAAAGATGAACTATTTTTAGGGTAACTTGGAACAGAAAACCAGAAAATGATTATACTCAATCTTACTCTACATCATTGCTATGAATTTCAGAAGCTTTGCTTTTTCCTGGGCAGCAGGCTAATCCATGTAATATATCTTTGCATCAATGGTCTGGTCAAATAGGCTTTCTGGGGTTTTGTTAAAAAAGTTTGGACTTGAAGTATGTAAAATCCCCTTTCTCCCTGCTCTGTCTAGTGACTCTGAATCATAGGCTGATTCCTAGATGACCTAAATGCCCATTTTTGGCAATCACCCCCTGTTTTCAGCATGTCTCATATCTAGTTCTCTGTGTTACTTTACTATTGCTCTCAAGTATTCAGCAAAACCCTCTTCTAGAAGTCCAGGTATGCAACTACCATAACTTTCTTCAGCTCAACAGGCCATACAGCGCAATGCAGGTGAGGTATGGTGATAATGGTACAGGGCTAGCATGGAGAAAATGTATAGGTGTCTATGTATAGGTGGCTATGCCCACACTATATAGTTTGCCTAATAGCATGGAGAAAATGTATAGGTGTCTATGCCCACACTATATAGTTTGCATATGTCCTTCTCCTGAGCTTCTCCCTTCCAGATCGACACGACCTCCCTTCAGTGCCTTACTAAAGCCTGTTCTCCTGCCATGTAGGGTACTCGACTCATGGCAGCCGTGGGCGGTGGCAATCCTGCACATTCTCCCCACCCCAGCCAACTCTACCTGTGCCTATGTCCTACACAACAGCCTTCCTTCCACACTCACAAATGTGCGTAGGGGAAAAACATGCTGCTTCTCCTTGTCCTGGGAAAGATCAGCATGCAGCTGTTGAGAAAGACTATCTTCAGCTATTCAGCAGCGTGGGAGGGCTTACATGAGGATGTCCTGGGAACCTATGGATCCGAGACCTCCTCCGTACACATACACTGCAGTTTTGAACTCTTTGGGGGCATCTGAAATAAATTTCATTAAATGACCCATTCAAACCTCTTTTTCCCCATGGCCCAGCAAACTACTTGTCACTAACAATTTACCTTCTTTCACCTGAGAAATGTGAAAAAAAGAATACCATCCAGTCAAAACGTAGTCGTCAGATTTCATCTTAGTTCTGTTAACAAATATATTTAATGCAAAGGCAAACTAGGAACTACATAATTACCATACTCTCTCTCAATATAGTAAACAGAAGATCTCAAAGTTAGAAAATAATTTTGTTTTCATTGGTACCTATGTCCTGGCAAACTAGGAACTACATAATTACCATACTCTCTCTCAATATAGTAAACAGAAGATCTCAAAGTTAGGTACCAACGAAAACAAAATTATTTTCTATGTCCTGAAAAGACATTCTACTTCAGGCAGGAAAAACAAAAAAAAACCCCCACCTATCTAGAAATGCAGTAAGCCAAGAGACTAAAGAAGAATAGCAAGAGTTCTGGTCACGCAGACTTATCTCTGCTTCTGATCTTTGACTGTGGTTAAGAGGCGCTCATCCGAAATGATGAAGCGTGAGGGACAGTTTCAAGCCTCACCTACATTCCTCTTATCCTGGGTCAGCTGTGGGTCTCATGATGCAACTTCAAGGACAGTGACTGTTGCCTGTGGCTCACGGGTCAAAGCCAGAGTACAAGGCAGCCTTGGCTATCTACGTGTTTTGCATACCCTAACACATGCAAGAACCACTGTGCCATATTTACATCCATCAATAACCCTCCATCCCTGGGATGACCCTCTTTGGGTAGCGTAATTGCTTTGGAACCACACTGCACAGACAAAACAGCACAAAATGTCCTCGGTGGAGAAAGCTTTTAGTCAACCACCGTTCACATTTTCACATGGGCAACTCAGAAAAAATAGGAGGAGGTGTATGTGCAAGACAAATACATTTGTTAAAAAAACAACAACAAAGGATAATGGAAAAAGCTCAGAATCCAAGTAATTGTTCTCAGAACCTACTCCTGATGCTGTGGCAATGAGCTGTCTCCTGGAAGCACAATCAGTTTAATTCAACCGTGCAAGGAAAGCATGACTAGGAGTGTCCAGGCAAGGTCTGTGCAGCTCAGAGTGAAAATGGCTCCAATTCTTGCCAGTCACACTGGATGAATAAAGACAATAGGGAAGGAGAGGGCCAAGCCAGGAGGTCCACAATTATACAATATCAAGTCCCAAGCCTTGCAAAAATGTAAGCTTAGTGATACAGAACAAGGAGCAGAGCAATTACGAAAGTTTTCTGTGACCCTGGAGAAGGATTTCTTTTCCTTTGATCTCTCTGCAGATGCATGCCATTCCCAGCCTCATAAAACAAAGATTTACGATGAGGTTCACCCTAGTGCAGCTCTCATAACAGATCTTCCTAACTACGTTATGTTGTCACTTAAACAATGGAGGAAAAGCTTCGCAGCGTCGTTAGTTGCTCTCTTTCTTTATTCACCAACACGAAATAATGTACAACAAACTGTAGAAACGATGACAGCAACAGTATTTAGTAAGAGTTTACCTTTAAGAAGCCAACGCACTGTCTTCCTACTTTATCTTGGTATCATGAAGGAAGAATTCATAATACAAGTCTATCTTTACCTCCTTCCTGAATGACTTGACCAATGGCTGTTTGCTTTTGTTGTTTTAGAAAACATTCTCTCTTACATTCCATTAACTGCTCAAAATCCTGCCACATTTTAATTTGCTTCATATTTGGCCCATGACTTTCTCGTACAACTTTCTGCTTCTCTCGTAATTTCTGTTAAAAATACAAAAATGTTAGATTTCTGGAACAGTTCTACACCACAAAAATTGCTTACATAGGCAGCTTGGAATGACAAAGATTTTTACATGCTACTGAAATATTATTTTGTTCAAGTTGATAACACTCCCTGCAAGTGATAAATGCATTAACACCTGGGACTTAGATCTTTGTACGGACTGACAGTTATTTAAAGGTTTTTAAACTGTCTAAATAATAGCCTTATCTATTTGAGAAGTTATCCTAAACATCTGAGATCATTTCCATACAGAGCTCTTGCAGTATCAAGTTGCAACCTGCAATGGATTCATATCATGATATTATAAACATGAAATCGATGTTTTACAATTAAACCTGCTACTGATTATTAATAGTGGCAGCCCAAACCTGTAAAAATTGCTCATAGACTGACGCATGAAAAGGAAACTACAAAAGAAAGATGTTTAGTGTGAATTGGGTGAATTGGTAAGCCTAACCTCGTCCATGCTGATCTGAGCTTCATACAAGATTAAAAATGGACAACTGCTTTTGTTTAACACTGCTGCGCTGATGATCCCCTGGCCTTTAATAACAGCGATAAGGCTGACAGGCTCAAAATTTATTGTCTTCAACAGGTTGCTTTATATACAACATAAAATTCGAGCTGGCACAGTTTGTTATGCCCATGTTTCAGTTTCTTATCCAAATGGTTTTCAGGGAATGTGCTGTCACGTTAAGCTGTTTGACTATCTTTTACAAGCGGCTCATGCTATACTCTGCAGGAAATCAAGCCCTGAAGAGCGAGCATGATCTCTTTTCAGGGTATTAGTTACCAATGCCAGCAGTAATGGAATTTTCTTTGTAGGCTGCAATATGCTTTTTATAAAAGACTGACCACAGCCTTTGGTAATAAGCCCCACAAAAATATGAACTGTACAATGTTTTTACAAGGTAAAAAAACCATCATTCTTACCTTCCCAAGGTTTTCTTGTTCAACAATCATTCGTGTATACTGTTCTCTAAAGGAAATAGAAAATAATTTTGTAATTTTTTTTTTTGGTTCTACATAATAGGGCAGAATAATGATGCAAGCATGGAAAATTATGGGAGTATTGGGAGGTTCATAAACGAGATAGAAGAGGAAGCATGAAGAAACCTTTTTGTCGTTGGACAACACATCTCTTGACATCAAGGATCAGATCTCTGATTCTCTCAGTTGTACAGTCAGGAAAAGTGATACTGGGTAAGATCAGAAACCTTTTTGTCGTTGGACAACACATCCCTTGACATCAAGGATCAGATCTCTTTGATTCTCTCAGTTGTACAGCCAGGAAAAGTGATATTGGGTAAGATTTCTTACATTTTTGAAGCAGGCATCATTACCACTCCTTCCAGCTTGAAGACAACAGCAAGATCATTTAGATAAGATATACACGATCCCTTTTTAATAATGTATTTATCCTGGGGATATTCTGAGGTTAGCCAGTGGCCTCGTTTGTACAAGCCTCAGATTTTACAAATCCACAGCCCTTAATTGCTGTGAATGTAGCATTAGAATGAGTGGGAAAATACAGGAATGAAGGGGAATAGTATTTCACCCCAGGTTTGACAAATCCAATGACTGCAATGGAACCACTCTGCGTTCCTCACTTTCAGAAAACAGCCGTCACATTTAGGTGCCTAAATATAGGCTTAGAAGCATAACTGTTGACATTCATTATTAAAAATCTTGGCTGTACACCTTTGTCTGTAACAAGTGGCTGGATCACTTTCTGACATATGCAAACTTGATACATGAAACCTGACAATATAATATGCAAACCATAACAGCACAATTCAGATACATTACTATGTACTTATTTTAAAATTTTTTTAAATGAGTCAATAAAAAAAACCCACTTCACTGATTCACTGGGGAAAAAAAAATCACTTACTATATTTTGTGTGTAACAGGTACACTTAGAGGTTGAGAGTTTGTTAGCGGAATTCGAAGTAACCCAGTTCATCTAAAGAACTTTCCAAATTGCTCAGGGCAGAAGACCTTTGCAGAGAGAAATCCTAATTTCCAGAAAGAAATATCAGCCTTCGTGATACCAGAGCGTGAAGATTTGCTAGAGCGCGGTGAGCAGCCGCGTAGAACCAAGGCATTGCATTTCTTATATTCCTTCCATTTCGACTAAGTACTGCAGGCTTTCGAGTGGAGCACTTGGGCCCCTGGCCACCTGGTCCTGCCTGCCATACTCCCTGCGGAACGGACGCGCAAGGAATGAAGCTGGATCATTTTATGATCTCTCACCCTTGGACAAGTCTAGCCAGAACAAATCAGAGCCGTCTTGAGGCTGCTCCAAGTGCTGTGCTGCACAGCTGATCCCTAGCAATCCTCACCAAATCAAAGAAATGGAAAGCCACACTGAATCTTCTTATTTCCACTGGCACACAGCATATGTTCACACACATTTGGCCTCAAGAACACACTTTTTCTTTTTTTTTAAGTAGGGTTTTCAAAGTAATCATCAGAAGATTAGATGTCTTTCCTAGTAAGTTTTTCTTTACTATTTATAATGATGACTGGAAAGAATGGAACTTAATAACTTAATTAGAAACCCCATAATTTTCTATTTTTAGAGAAGAAAATTAACTTTTCACATTCCTAAGAAGTGACTCCACAGAACAAAGAGTTTACATTCAATAAAGAGGGTGGGAATTAAGACATTTTTTGTTCAATACGTTGTTAGGAATGTGCTGTTCTATTTATGGTTCATTTTTACTCCATTTACATTCCAGTGCCTGCTGAAAAATACATTCACATTCTAAAAGGATGTCTAGAAAAATATTTTATAGTCTTATTTTATATTTTGCAAAGATGTCTATACTGAACTTCGTTGTAATTCATTTAAATGCGACGGGTCTGTGACCTCTTACAGAAGGTCAAAAATGTGTATAGTCACTGTGAGAGGATAATTTCCCCAGCTTCTGTGCCCACAGTTAGCAAGTGAAACAGGGACAGCAGAGACAGTGGTAATGCTCTGTTCACATTCTCTTCACCATACCTGGAATTACATAGCTGGACTCGCTTAATTCCAGCGTTTGGCTTTAATGACTTGTCTATGTGAATACTCACATTGTGGATCTTCATTTCACAAGTATTTGAGTTGGAGCATTTTTTGCTTAGCATCTGTGAATAAATGCAGAGCCTCCCCTTCCCTGCGAAGCCATAAAAGGACAGTGCCTGTTGTTTGCCCTGCATTTCCTCTCAGCTGCTTGGCTGAGCTGTGTTGCTTTTCACACTAATGAATATTCACATCATCACTAAGATTTTTCTCACAGCCACTTCTCTTTGCATCCTTCTGCTTAATTTTGCTGTTTCATTGTCTCTCATTAGATAAATGTTTCATTTCCTACAGCCTCCCATTATTTTGTGAGATGGAAGAAGAGGCTTCTTAGCCTCCACTCACATTCTATCTCCTCATCCTTTTCTTCTCCCACCCCCATATTAGTAGTTTCGATTCTTTTCTCACTCTTCTTGTTCCTGCATTGTTTACTACATAGTGTTTAAACATTTTCACGCCTCAGGTCCTTGCAGAAGGTCTCTGTGATGGACATTAATCCAGGCCTTCATTTCCTAGTGATCTCTGGCTCATGTTCTAGAGCAGCGGGAGCTGCAGCTCCACTGGTACCAGTGCAAGGTGCATCGGGGCAACTCCTAGTTCATGAAGGATCTGATGGAGGAAGGAGACACTGAGAGATGAGGTCTTCTGCGGGAACCCCTGGAGTTTTCTCACTCACTTTGACACATCGCTATCCCTGACAATGGCCCCATTCCACAGCCCATAAAATCTTAGTGGTCAACTACTGCCTTTTTTCACTCCACTTCCCAATGAGTGAAGAAATTACCTCTGGTGATACTGAATGACATTTGATTACGTACAGGACCAATTAATGGTGCTTCCCTCGCTGCCACCACTGCAACAGAAAGGTTCAGAACTTATTCTGAAAGGTAAAAAGTCCTAAGAGGACAGATATCTTGGGAAATTAATTTATTCTTCCATCTCCTTTGAGAAGTGACAGACAACTACTGGTTCTCTTTTCCTGTTGTGATGTCAGCATGCTGGATGGTCTGAAGCTTTCAAATGGGAATGTAGAATGATTATTAATTATCTAATTAAGCAGTTCTATCTTTGCTTTGCCACTCAGTCATGTTTTTAAATTGTTTTGTGAATGGGACAATTTGGTGAAGCATTTTGGCACATGGTACAGAAGACTGTACAGGAACCACAGCTCTGACATGACAGATTACACAGATCTCAAGCAACAATCTGTCCTGTCACTGAAATACAAATGCAGAAATCCAAGAAGAAGCCTCACATCAAGGAATTACATTGCTGTGGCCTTTTAAAGCCTAAGCAATCCAGTAAACTGTAGGAATGATGATTGATGCAGGCTGTGAGAAGGAGAGGTAGAAGGCAGAGCTGATGCCCCCTCTGCACTGAACTAAAAATGATACACTCCGTGGAGATTCCTTGGTACAGTCATGACTACACCTTTAAGGAGACCCAATCCTACTCTCAAAACATCAGAGTCTTTTTCACTCATTCCATTCATTAAAAAATAAAGCAAAAGGTCCCCTGATGAAACCAAGCAAACATGAATTTTAAAACGGTTTTGATAAATATTTTCATGACTGAGAAATACTGTGGTGCAAAAGCCAAAGACCACTTTGTAAAACCAGTGACAACAATTTAAGCTTGTTTATTTTGTTGACAGCTAGGATCTAAGAATTTTTTTTTGGTCAAAGATAGAAATTCTGTTTTCCAGCTAGTTTTATTTCATGCAAAATTGTGAAATTTTGAAAAACTAATTATGAAGAATAAAAACAGGTATTTTGACACTTCTACCATATGAAAGTTATAAATGGTTTGGTTTGGATTTTCCTGATGTTTAATTTTGATGGGGCTGAACCAGCTTGTTGACTTTATTGCCTGAATTTTGTTTCAACTTTTATATTGTATTAAAAGATTGAACATATACAAAATTTTAAACAAGATACTTTTACAAAAATATTTAGTATGCAGCGAAGTGCAAAAAAATCTATATGACATGGTAACATTTAGACTTCTCAGCTGAGATAATTATTCCAAAATATCTCATTCTCAGAAAATATTTCAATCTTTGGCAGAACTGCATCATTTAAAATGGAAAACTATGCAAAAAAAAATAATCATCAGCTCAATTCATAACCTTTTCTGCTTCTCTCCCTGCCAGGCAAATGCAAGCGGTCCTGAAAAAATGCACAGGATGAAGCAACTGCCTTTATATTGGAATAAATTAAATTGAGTGTAAAGATGAAGGTTAGCATGATGGTCCAGAACAGTATTCAATTCTACCTCCAGTAAGAACTACAAACAGGAGCAAACCAAAATCCATTGATGATGAGCATATGCAGTCCTCCACTCCTGTACCAGTGATGGCGATAGCTATTATACTTGAAAGAAGAGTGGAAGATTTGCAAGAAATGGCCAGAATCTGAGGGCAGCACACGGTTGCTTTCTGAGAGGTGGTAGCCCTTCTACTCCTGCGCGTTGGAGTCTCGGGGAAACTTGGCCAAGGCGTTATGGCTGATAGAGCCACACTTCCTGCAGGACCTAGCTGAAGCACAGCTTCTCTGTGCTTGTGCCAACAGGGTCTGCAAGTTAAAACCGCTATCTAGGGCCTATAATCTCCGGCAGGAAGGGAAAATCTTTTGGTATGTCTGAGAGAACTCGTAGGTTTACAGCAGTATATACTGGAATTTGAGATGCTTATTTTTAGATTATCATAGTGTTTCTAAATTTATCAGGTGAACTCCTCCAGTTCAAATGCCAGTGAGAAAATTCCTAACTTTAACCTTAGTTTCTGAATATCCTTCAAGTTAACACAAAGGAAACACATTAATACACTTACCGAATTGCCTTTCGTCTCTCCTGTGGGTCTGGGGAGACATAAGCCTTCATTTCTTCTTTAGCACGCTGCAGCTGTACTTCTAGGTTCTATAAAGAAACATATAATTTAAAATAATATATAGATGATAATTGCTGTTTCATTTCACAATGAACAATTTGGTCCCTCTTGTGATCTTACCCTTTTCATGCAGTTAACATAACGGTAGTTGCTTTCTTCCTGAACACACTCCTCAAGAAGTCCTTTCACTTCCTGTAGCACAAGAATAAGATTTCAAAGGATATCGAAACTGGAAGTCCACAGGAGATGCCCTGGGTTGCTATATAAACCGTGTAAGTCCATCAGAGAAACAGGCATAATACTGAATTGATAAATCCTCAAGTGTTTCTATAATTTGGGCTTTACAGAAGTCTCTTTTAAAGTGAAAGACAATTGATTTTTTTAGATTTGCAGTTTCAGTCACAGTTAGAGATGCTAAATGATTGTCAATAGGTGTTTATTAATATGACTGACTTCTAACAGACACTTCACAAGTGCTGCCAAGATTCTTGTTCCTAAGCACATCTTAAGTGCTAAATACAGTTGTGAATAAGCATTTCCTGGAACACATCTGCAAAATGTAAGTTAGAAGCTACAGACATGTAAATAGTATGTTAATTAGCAATCAATAATTATGTTGAGGAGTATGGAGACAGAGGGTTAGTCCCATCTCTAAATGGTCCATACCAAAAAACCCCTAATAATCCAAATGGAATTCATGTACTCCAGGTCACACAGCAGTTGTCGACTCCAAAGCTCTGTCACCTTGTGATTTTCAGACCATCAGCTGGAAAACTGAATTCTACTGTCCAAGTGCAAGAGTTTGCTGACACTCATGTCCAGCTTAATCAGTGGATGTGATTGTCAGCATGTGTTAGACAATGACTAGGATTTGTCTGCCAAGAAAAAAAAGCCTTGATTGCTATTGTAAAGTAGTTCTTACGGAAGGTCTACTTCATAGTAGGTTCATCTGTGGATTGTTTTATTTTGCTTGGATTAAGCCATACAAAAGTACTTTTAGTGCAGCAAAAGAATTATCTATATATCCACCCACACTTTAAATGTATGCTTTTTTTAAATTTTGAAATATATTCCTTTATGTGGGCAAGGCCTTGAAAAATCAAGTCCAGAGAAAATTCACAGGAGGTGATCTAGTGAGATGAAGCAGATTCATATAAACATATTAATACTGTCCCCACCTTAAAGGATTGCGTACCGTCCTTCCTAAAAGTGCTATAGTTCACGTAATGCATAAGCTACCTACACACAAGCTCTCAGCTATACCCATATGGTTGTATTTTTAAAACTGTTGTATGCAAGAATACAAGACAGTCACCTTTAATGAAGTATCCCTGCCATCAATTTCAGTGCATTAATTATCCATTGGATCAGTTGCTAATTTAATGAATCTGCTAAACGCATATAAAGATTTGTCTTGATAAATTGATCCTTATTTTATGGTCAAATTCTTTCCTAACAGATGCTGTCTAGGTCAGCAGGATTTCTTGCAGATGCATCTTCTTTTCCTTGCTAGTCAAGGGTGGAGGTCAGCAGATGGACCGATGTACCATTGAGTTCCTTTGTTGCTATTCAGAACAGATGTGTGCGACTGTAGCTAGTCCACAGCAGCTTCAGGCGTGATTTGCATGCTTGTGGATCACCATTGACTCCTTTCCACCTGAAGTGGATTTGTACTTTCCATATCCAGAGGGAAGGCAGGGAAAATATTGTTCCATAGTGAATAACATGATGCACAGAATTTATTAATATGCATGAAAAAGCCACCATCTTACCTGTTCCAGTGTAGAGCGATTGCTCTCTAACCCCGCTGCACAACTGTCGTATTGGATTTTTTTTTCATCACATTCTTGAATTAATTCCTTACGTAAAAAGGGCAAAAGGGTACATAAATGAAATCTTCAATTGACTGACATGTGACACTCAGGCAGACTGTGTTCTTGTCAGTCTCGCACATCAACCTCAGCTCTTGGCACACTCACACACACTTACATAAACCTAGCAGGCACATGGGTATAATTACACACGGGGAAGCCACCAGCCTCCACTCGCATACTGGAGGATCAGCTGTATACACCACAACACAGCATGCAAATGTCCTCTTTACAGCCACATTCATAGCTTTAACGTGGTAGGTTAACAGGGCAGTGTTTGCAAGAAGAAAGGAAAAATAATTATAAAAATAGACATTAAGAAAGGATTCATATACTTGCTACCTATGAAAAGCCAGCTTTTTAGCTGTACGCAACAAACACCTTCACTGGATTTCATTTGCTGACACTTTTAATAAAACCATTACAAGTAAGTTTTCTGGAAATTCAGTTGCTAGACAAATGGATAGCTCGCTCTACTTCTATGGCAATGAGCCAACTTATAGCAGCTGTGGACCTGAATGACTTTTTTTTTCAGCTCTCTAAAATTTTGAAAGCAAATGGATAAATCTGTCATTCCTACAGACTAATATAGGACTTAGATCACTGTATTCAACCATTTGGATGAGATATTATTTGCAATCCATTTAAAAAGGAGAGCATGAGTTGAGACCATTAGTGCTGAGATGCAGAAAAAGCTTTGAATCCTATTCGAAAACGAACTTTGCCATGGTTTTGAACCATGATTTTTTTTAATTTTCCCTTGGTGCAGTAATTTTTTTTAATTGCTATAAAAGACAAAATTTGCAGCCTGATTTTGTGCCTGCATTGTCAGCTTTGACTAATTCCAGTCTTTAACATGTTGCCTGTTGCAAATCGCTGTTGACCCATTCTACTATTTCCAGCTTTCCTTCAGAGTCGATTACGTTCTTGTACAGCACTATAGAGATCTGTAAATTAGACTTATTTGTGATTCTGACTTTATTTACATAGAATGAGAGAAGCGTTTCTACTAACCTGGCACTTTTGACGCAACTGTCTCAGTTCTTTGATAACAGGAGCTAGGCTTGCCTTCTTCTCTGCCACCATAGTATTCAGTTTTTTTACCTGAGAGGGGGACAAAATAATACACATTAACACTATGATACTAATAGTACATTATATAATTAGGAATGTGAAAAGAAAGAGAAGTAAACCAAAATATGGGGAGAAAAAAATGTGCAATGAAGCCTGAACTATATATAATATAACATAAGTTCAGGCCTAATTAACAAA